ACGACCAGGCCGTTCGCTTCTACAGCAGCGCCATCGAGCTGGCCCCGGGCAACGCCGTCTACTACGGGAACCGGAGCCTGGCGCACCTGCGGGCCGAGAGCTACGGCGCCGCCCTGGCGGACGCCACGCGCGCCCTGCAGCTCGACAGCGCCTACCTCAAGGGCTACTACAGGAGGGCGGCCAGTTACATGGCTCTGGGCAGGTTCCGGGCCGCCCTCAGGGACTATGAGATGGTAATGGGGGTATAATGGGTTATAATGGGGTGTAATGGGGTATAATGGGGTGGAATGGGGTTATAATGGGGTGGAATGGGGTATAATGGGGTATAATGGGGTTATAATGGGGTGTAATGGGGTAATGGGGGCACAGTTACATGGCTCTGGGCAGGTTCCGGGCCGCCCTCAGGGACTATGAGATGGTAATGGGGGTATAATGGGTTATAATGGGGTGTAATGGGGTTAGAATGGGTTATAATGGGGTATAATGGGGTTATAATGGGTTATAATGGGTTATAATGGGGTATAATGGGGTTATAATGGGGTTATAGGGGGTTATAATGGGGTTATAGGGGGTTATAATGGGGTTATAATGGGTTATAATGGGTTATAATGGGTTATAATGGGGTGTAATGGGGTAATGGGGGCACAGTTACATGGCTCTGGGCAGGTTCCGGGCCGCCCTCAGGGACTATGAGATGGTAATGGGGTTAGAATGGGTTATAATGGGGTGTAATGGGGTTAGAATGGGGTGTAATGGGGTTATAATGGGTTATAATGGGGTGTAATGGGGTAATGGGGGCACAGTTACATGGCTCTGGGCAGGTTCCGGGCTGCCCTCAGGGACTATGAGATGGTAATGGGGGTATAATGGGGTGTAATGGGGGTATAATGGGGTGTAATGGGGTGTAATGGGCTATAATGGGGTGTAATGGGGTGTAATGGGGTAATGGGGACACAGTTACATGGCTCTGGGCAGGTTCCGGGCCGCCCTCAGGGACAATGAGATGGTAATGGGGTTAGAATGGGTTATAATGGGGTGTAATGGGGTTAGAATGGGTTATAATGGGGTGGAATGGGGTTATAATGGGGTGTAATGGCGTAATGGGGGCACAGATGGGGGCACAGTTACATGGCTCTGGGGAGGTTCCGGGCCGCCCTCAGGGACTATGAGATGGTAATGGGGTTAGAATGGGTTATAATGGGTTATAATGGGGTGTAATGGGGTGTAATGGGGGCACAGATGGGGGCACAGTTACATGGCTCTGGGCAGGTTAATGGGCCCTAAGGGGGTACAATGGGGTAATAATGGGGTTAATAATGGGGTGTAATGGGGTAATGGGGGCACAGTTACATGGCTCTGGGCAGGTTCCGGGCCGCCCTCAGGGACTATGAGATGGTAATGGGGTTAGAATGGGTTATAATGGGGTGTAATGGGGTGTAATGGGGTTATAATGGGTTATAATGGGGTGTAATGGGGTAATGGGGGCACAGTTACATGGCTCTGGGCAGGTTCCGGGCCGCCCTCAGGGACTATGAGATGGTAATGGGGTTAGAATGGGTTATAATGGGGTGTAATGGGGTTATAATGGGGTGTAATGGGTTATAATGGGGTGTAATGGGGTAATGGGGGCACAGTTACATGGCTCTGGGCAGGTTCCGGGCCGCCCTCAGGGACTATGAGATGGTAATGGGGTTGTAATGGGTTATAATGGGGTGTAATGGGGTTATAATGGGTTATAATGGGGTGTAATGGGGTTAGAATGGGTTATAATGGGGTGTAATGGGGTAATGGGGGCACAGTTACATGGCTCTGGGCAGGTTCCGGGCCGCCCTCAGGGACTATGAGATGGTAATGGGGTTAGAATGGGTTATAATGGGGTGTAATGGGGTTAGAATGGGTTATAATGGGGTGTAATGGGGTGTAATGGGTTATAATGGGGTGTAATGGGGTTAGAATGGGGTGTAATGGGGTAATGGGGGCACAGTTACATGGCTCTGGGCAGGTTCCGGGCCGCCCTCAGGGACTATGAGATGGTAATGGGGTTAGAATGGGTTATAATGGGGTGTAATGGGGTTAGAATGGGTTATAATGGGGTGTAATGGGGTTAGAATGGGTTATAATGGGGTGTAATGGGGTTATAATGGGGTGTAATGGGGTGTAATGGGGTAATGGGGGCACAGTTACATGGCTCTGGGCAGGTTCCGGGCCGCCCTCAGGGACTATGAGATGGTAATGGGGGTATAATGGGGTGTAATGGGGTGTAATGGGGTTATAATGGGTTATAATGGGGTGTAATGGGGTAATGGGGGCACAGTTACATGGCTCTGGGCAGGTTCCGGGCCGCCCTGAGGGACTATGAGATGGTAATGGGGGTATAATGGGGTTAGAATGGGGTGTAATGGGGTTAGAATGGGTTATAATGGGGTGTAATGGGGTAATGGGGGCACAGTTACATGGCTCTGGGCAGGTTCCGGGCCGCCCTCAGGGACTATGAGATGGTAATGGGGTTAGAATGGGTTATAATGGGGTGTAATGGGTTATAATGGGTTATAATGGGGTGTAATGGGGTTAGAATGGGTTAGAATGGGGTGTAATGGGGTTAGAATGGGGTGTAATGGGGTTAGAATGGGGTGTAATGGGGTTAGAATGGGTTATAATGGGGTGTAATGGGGTAATGGGGGCACAGTTACATGGCTCTGGGCAGGTTCCGGGCCGCCCTCAGGGACTATGAGATGGTAATGGGGTTAGAATGGGTTAGAATGGGGTGTAATGGGGTTAGAATGGGTTAGAATGGGGTGTAATGGGTTATAATGGGGTGTAATGGGGTTAGAATGGGGTGTAATGGGGTGTAATGGGGTGTAATGGGGTTAGAATGGGGTGTAATGGGGTAATGGGGGCACAGTTACATGGCTCTGGGCAGGTTCCGGGCCGCCCTCAGGGACTATGAGATGGTAATGGGGGTAGAATGGGTTATAATGGGGTGTAATGGGGTTAGAATGGGTTATAATGGGGTGTAATGGGGTAATGGGGGCACAGTTACATGGCTCTGGGCAGGTTCCGGGCCGCCCTCAGGGACTATGAGATGGTAATGGGGGTAGAATGGGTTAGAATAATGGGGGGTTATAATGGGGTGTAATGGGGTTAGAATGGGGTGTAATGGGGTAATGGGGGCACAGTTACATGGCTCTGGGCAGGTTCCGGGCCGCCCTCAGGGACTATGAGATGGTAATGGGGGTAGAATGGGTTATAATGGGGTGTAATGGGGTGTAATGGGGTTATAATGGGTTATAATGGGGTGTAATGGGGTAATGGGGGCACAGTTACATGGCTCTGGGCAGGTTCCGGGCCGCCCTCAGGGGCTATGAGATGGTAATGGGGTGGAATGGGGGTAATGGGGTTATAATGGGGTGTAATGGGTTCTAATGGGGTGTAATGAGTTGTAATGGGGTGTAATGGGTTATAATGGGGTGTAATGGGGTTAGAATGGGGTTAGAATGGGGTCAGTGGTTGGCAGTGTGTGCCTGCGTGTGCATCTGGGTCAATTGTTGGCTGTGGGCGCCCTTGGGTCAATGGGTGCCTATGGGTCAATGGGTGCCTATGGGTGCCCATGGCTCAATGGGTTCCTATGGGTGCCCGTGGGTCGATGGGTGCCCATGCGTCAATGGGTTCCTATGGGTGCCCGTGGGTCGATGGGTGCCCATGTGTCAATGGGTTCCTATGGGTGGCCATGGGTCGATGGATGCCCATGGGTCAATGGGTTCCTATGGTTGGCCGTGGGTCGATGGGCGCCCGTGGATGCCCATGTGTCAATGGGCACCCATGGCTCAATGGGTTCCTATGGGTGCCCGTGGGTCGATGGGTGCCCATGTGTCAATGGGTGCCCATGTGTCAATGGGTTCCTATGGGTGCCCGTGGGTCGATGGGTGCCCATGTGTCAATGGGTTCCTAGGGGTGGCCGTGGGTCGATGGGCGCCCATGGCTCAATGGGTTCCTATGGGTGGCCATGGGTCGATGGATGCCCATGGCTCAATGGGTTCCTATGGGTAGCCGTGGATCGATGGGCGCCCGTGGATGCCCATGTGTCAATGGGCGCCCATGGCTCAATGGGTTCCTATGGGTGGCCGTGGGTGGATGGGCGCCCGTGGGTCAATGGGTGCCCATGGTTCGATGGACGCCCATGCGTCAATGGGTTCCTATGGGTGGCCGTGGCTCAATGGGTGCCCCCCGGCTGCAGGTGGTGAAGGTGCGGCCCCACGACAAGGACGCCAAGCTCAAGTACCAGGAGTGCCACAAGCTGGTCAAGCAGAAGGCCTTCGAGCGCGCCATCGCCTCCGACGAGCACAAGCGCTCCGTGGTCGACTCCTTGGACATCGAGAGCATGAGTGAGACCCCCACTGACCCCCATAGACCCCCATAGACCCCCATAGACCCCCACTGACCCCCATTGACCCCTGTTGACTCACTTTGACCCCCATTGACCCCCGTTGACCCCCATTGACCCACATAGACCCCCACTGACCCCCGTTGACTCACTTTGACTCCCATTGACCCCCATTGATCCACATAGACCCCCACTGACCCCCGTTGACCCCTGTAGACTCACTTTGACTCCCATTGACCCCCATTGACCCACATAGACCCGTGTTGACCCACATAGACCCCCATTGACCTCCTTTGACTCCCATTGACCCACATAGACCCCTGTTGACCCCCATTGACCCCCATTGATCCCCATTGACTCACTTTGACTCCCATTGACCCCCAGTGACCCCTGTTGACCCACATGGACCCACATAGACACCCATTGACCCCCATTGACTCACTTTGACTTCCATAGACCCGCATTGACCCCGGTTGACCCCCGTTGACCCACATTGACCCACATAGACACCCATTGACCCCCGTTGACCCACATTGACCCACATAGACCCACATTGACGCACATAGACACCCATTGACCCCCATTGACTCACTTTGACTCCCATGGACCCCCATAGACCCCCATTGACCCACATAGACCCGCATTGACCCCCATTGACCTGTATTGAACCCCATTGACCCCCATAGACCCCCATAGACACCCACAGACCCCCATTGACCCCCATTGACCCCCATTGACCCTCAGCGCGGGGGAAGGGGCTTGGCATCACCACGACGGGCCCCATGGGGGACTTGGCATCCCCATGGGGGTCTCCAGGACCCCATAAGGGTCCCCATGGAGGTCTTGGCATCCCCATGAGGGTCTCCACATCCCCATAAGGGTTCCCATGGTGCTCACCATTGCCCCCATGGTCCCCATTGCCCCCATGGTCCCCATTGCCCCCATTGCCCCCATGATCCCCATTGCCCCCATGGTCCCCATTGCCCCCATGGTCCCCATTGCCCCCATGGTCCCCATTGCCCCCATGGTCCCCATTGTCCCCGGTGTGTTCGTGGTGCAGCCATCGAGGACGAGTACAGCGGCCCCAAGCTGGACGATGGCAAAGTGACCTTGGCCTTCATGAAGGACCTGATGCAGTGGTACAAGGACCAGAAGAAGCTCCATAGGAAATGTGCCTACCAGGTAATGGGGGCAATGGGGTAAGGGGGGGTAATGGGGCCAATGGGGGTAATGGGGACTATGGGGGTAAGGGGGCAACTGGGGTAATAGGGGTTATGGGGGCAATGGGGTAATAGGGGTTATGGGGGTAATGGGGTAATAGGGGTTATGGGGGTAATGGGGGCAAGGGGGTAATTGGGGTAATAGGGGTTATGGGGGTAATGGGGTAATAGAGGTTATGGGGGTAATGGGGGTTATGGGGGTAATGGGGGCTATGGGGGCAATGGGGGCAAGGGGGTAATTGGGGTAATAGGGGTTATGGGGGGAATGGGGTAATAGAGGTTATGGGGGTAATGGGGGCAATGGGGGTAATGGGGTAATAGGGGTTATGGGGGCAATGAGGTAAATGGGGCTATGGGGGTAATGGGGTAATAGGGGCAATGAGTTAATGGGGGTAATGTGGGTAATGGGAGCCATGGGGTAATGTGGGCAATGGGGTTATGGGGGCAACGATGTAATGGGGGTAACGGCAATGGGGGCAATGGGGTTAATGGGGGTAATGGGAGCAATGGGATTAATGGGGTAATGGGCGCAATGAGGTAATGGGGGCAATGGGGGAATGAGGGTTATGGGGACAATGAGGTAATTGGGGTAATGGGGGTAATGGCAATGGGGGCAATGGGCTTAATGGGGGCATAGGGGGTCCCCACGTGCCACAGGTGCCCTCCTTGGCCCCCACGGGGCCCCTTTGTCCTCTCAGATCCTGGTGCAGGTGAAGGAGGTGCTCTCCAAGCTCCCCACACTGGTGGAAACCACGCTGCAGGAGGTGGGTTGGGGGTCTCCTTGGGGGGGGGGGGGTTATGGGGTTGGGATGCCCCTGACCCAGGTGGTGATTTGTGTCCCGCCCCCTGCCCCATAGACGGAGCAGGTGACGGTGTGTGGGGACACCCATGGGCAGTTCTATGATCTGCTGAACATCTTCGAGCTCAACGGGCTGCCCTCCGAGTCCAACCCTTATGTATCCCTTGGGTTGGGTTGGGTTGAGTTGGGTTCGGTTGGGTTGGGTTTGATTGGGTTGGGTTGAGTTGGGTTGGGTTGGGTTCGATTGGGTTGGGTTTAGTTGGGTTCGATTGGGTTGAGTTGGGTTCGATTGGGTTAGGTTGAGTTGGGTGGGGTTGAGCTGGGTTGGGTTAATTGGGTTCGATTGGGTTGGGTTTGATTGGATTGGGTTGAGTTGGGTTCGATTGGGTTGGGTTTGATTGGGTTAGGTTGAGCTGGGTTGGGTTAAGTTGGGTGGGGTTGAGTTGGGTTGGGTTGGGTTTAGTTGGATTGGGTCTTAATGGGTATTGTTGGTAGGGATGGGTTGGATTGAGTTGGGTTGGGTTGAATTGGATCGGGTTGGGTTGAGTTGGATCGGGTTGAATTGGATTGGGATGGGTTGGGTTGACTTGGGTTGAGTTGCATTGGATTGGGTTGGGTTAAATTGGTTTGGATTAAGTTGGTTTAGATTGGGTTGGGTTGACGGATTGAGTTGGATTGGATTGGGTCGAGGTGGATTGGGTTGGGTTGAGTTGATTTGAGTTGGGGTGGGTTGACTTGGGTTGAGTTGGATTGGGTTGGGTTGGACTGGGTTGGGTTGACTCGATTTGAGTTGGGTTGGATTAGGTTGGATTGAGTTGGGTTGAGTTGAGTTGGATTGGGTCTGATTGGGTAGGGTTGGGTTGCGTTGGCTTGGATTGGGTTGGGTTGGGCTGGGTTGGGTTGACTTGGGTTGAGTTGAGTTGGATTAGGTTGGCTTGAGCTGGGTTGGGTTGGGTTGAGTTGGATTGGGTCTGTTTGGGTACGGTTGGGTTGCGTTGGCTTGGCTTGAGTTGGGTTGGGCTGGGTTGGAGCCACCCCCGCTGCGGTGGGGCCAGGCCGGGGCCCAGTGCCGGAGGCCCTGGTTGGGGGGGGACCCTGCCGATCCCTTCCTGAGCTGGGGCCAGATCTTCAACGGGGACTTTGTGGACCGCGGCTCCTTCTCGGTCGAGGTGATCCTCACCCTCTTCGGCTTCAAGCTGCTCTACCCCGAGCACTTCCACCTCCTCCGGGGTAAGGGATGGGCCTCGGCATGGCCCGGCCTTGTCCCCCCCTCATGGGGCCACCATCGTGCCGTGGGTTCGGGTCCCTCTCCATGGTTATGGGGCCATCAGCCCGTGTCCCTTGTCCCCAGGCTCATGGGGCCACCATCGTGCCGTGGGGTTGGCTCTCCTCTCCATGGTTATGGGGCCACCATCCTATGTCCCTTGTCCCCACCACTCATGGGGCCACCATCGTGCCATGGGGTTGGCTCTCCTCTCCATGGTTATGGGGCCACCATCCTATGTCCCTTGTCCCCACCACTCATGGGGCCACCATCGTGCCATGGGGTTGGGTCCCTCTCCATGGTTATGGGGCCGCCATCATGCCATGGCCTTGGGTCTCCTCCCCATGGTTATGGGGCCACCATCTTGCCATGGGGTTGTGTTTCCTCTCCGTGCTTATGGGGCCACCATCGTGCCATGGCGTTGGGTCTCTCCATGGTCATGGTGCCACTATCATGCCATGGCGTTGGGTCTCCTCCCCATGGTTATGGGGCCACCATCTTGCCATGGGGTTGTGTTTCCTCTCCATGCTTATGGGGCCACCATCGTGCCATGGCGTTGGGTCCCATCTCCATGGTTATGGGGCCACCATTGTGTCATGGCATTGGGTCTCTCCATGGTCATGCCGCCACCATCGTGCCATAGCGTTGGCTCTCCTCTCCATGACCATGGAGCCACCATTGTACCATGGGTTGGGTCCCGTGTCCCCCCCCCCACCTGGAGCCCCATTGCCGGGCGCTGCCCCCCATAGCCGCCCCCCACGCAGGGAACCACGAGACGGACAACATGAACCAGATCTACGGCTTCGAGGGTGAGGTGAAGGCCAAGTACACGGCGCAGATGTTCGCGCTCTTCAGCGAGGTCTTCGAGTGGCTCCCCTTGGCCCAGTGCATCAACGGCAAAGTGCTGGTGAGCCTGGGGGGGGGTCCCCAATGGTCACATCCAACCAGCTCCCCATTGGGTGCTGGGTGCCCCATGGCCATGGCCATGAGCATCTTGTTGGGTCCCCATTGTTCTTGTTGGGTGCTGGGTCTCCAATGGCCATGGCCATGAGCTACCTGTTGGGTCCCCGTTGTTCTTGTTGGGTGCTGGGTCTCCAATGGCCATGGCCATGAGCATCTTGTTGGGTCCCCGTTGTTCCTGTTGGGTGCTGGGTCTCCAATGGCCATGGCCATGAGCATCTTGTTGGGTCCCCGTTGTTCTTGTTGGGTGCTGGGTCTCCAATGGCCACGGCCATGAGCATCTGGTTGGGTCCCCGTTGTTCTTGTTGGGTGCTGGGTCTCCAATGGCCATGGCCATGAGCATCTTGTTGGGTGCTGGGTCCCCCCATGGCCATGCCCATCAACTCCCTGTTGGGTGCTTGATCCCCCAATGGTCACATCCATCCAGCTCCCCATTGGGTGCTGGGTGCCCAATGGCCATGGCCATGAGCATCTTGTTGGGTCCCTGTTGTCCCTGTTGGGTGCTGGGTCCCCCATGGCCATGGCCATCAACTCCCTGTTGGGTGCTGGATCCCCCAATGGTCACATCCGTTCAGCTCCCCATTGGGTGCTGGGTGCCCCATGGCCATGGCCATGAGCATCTTGTTGGGTGTTGGGTCCCCGTTGTTCCTGTTGGGTGCTGGGTCTCCAATGGCCATGGCCATGAGCATCTTGTTGGGTCCCCGTTGTTCTTGTTGGGTGCTGGGTCTCCAATGGCCATGGCCATGAGCATCTTGTTGGGTCTTGGGTCCCTGTTGTTCTTGTTGGGTGCTGGGTCTCCAATGGCCATGGCCATGAGCTACCTCTTGGGTCCCCGTTGTTCTTGTTGGGTGCTGGGTCTCCAATGGCCATGGCCATGAGCATCTTGTTGGGTGCTGGGTCCCCCCATGGCCATGGCCATCAACTCCCTGTTGGGTGCTCGATCCCCCAATGGCCATGGCCATGAGCATCTTGTTGGGTCCCTGTTGTCCCTGTTGGGTGCTGGATCTCCAATGGCCATGGCCATGAGCATCTTGTTGGGTCCCCGTTGTTCCTGTTGGGTGCTGGATCTCCAATGGCCATGGCCATGAGCATCTTGTTGGGTCCCCGTTGTCCCTGTTGGGTGCTGGGTCCCCCATGGCCATGGCCATCAACTCCCTGTTGGGTGCTGGATCCCCCAATGGTCACATCCATTCAGCTCCCCATTGGGTGCTGGGTGCCCCATGGCCATGGCCATGAGCATCTTGTTGGGTGTTGGGTCCCCATTGTCCCCATTGGGTGCTGGGTCCCATTGCCCCCGTTGGGTGCTGGATCCCATTGCCCCCATTGGGTGCCGAGTCCCCATTGCCCCCATTGGGTGCCGGGTCCCCATTGCCCCTATTGGGTGCTGGGTGCCCATTGCCCCCGTTGGGTGCTGGGTCCCCATTGCCCCTATTGGGTGCCGGATGCCCACTGCCCCTATTGGGTGCTGGGTGCCCATTGCCCCCATTGGGTGCTGGGTGCCTGTTGCCCCCGTTGGGTGCCCCTTGCCCCATTGCCCCTATTGGGTCCCGGGTGCCCATTGCCCCTATTGGGTGCTGGGTGCCCATTGCCCCTATTGGGTGCTGGGTGCCCATTGCCCCTATTGGGTGCTGGGTCCCCATTGCCCCCGTTGGGTGCTGGATCCCCATTGCCCCTGTTGGGTCCCGGGTGCCCATTGCCCCTATTGGGTGCTGGGTGCCCATTGCCCCTATTGGATGCTGGGTGCCCATTGCCCCTATTGGGTGCCGGGTGCCCATTGCCCCCATTGGGTGCTGGGTCCCCATTGCCCCCGTTGGGTGCTGGGTGCCCATTGCCCCTGTTGGGTGCCGGGTGCCCATTGCCCCTATTGGGTCCTGGGTGCCCATTGCCCCTATTGGGTGCTGGGTCCCCATTGGGTGCTGGGTGCCCATTGCCCCTATTGGGTGCTGGGTGCCCGTTGCCCCCATTGGGTGCCTCTTGCCCCATTGCCCCCCTTGCCCCAGATCATGCATGGGGGGCTCTTCAGCGAGGACGGGGTCACCCTCGATGACATCCGCAAGATCGAGAGGAACCGGCAGCCTCCGGACTCAGGTGGGAGCTGGGTCCCATGGGTGCCCTATGGGGTCTCTATGGGGTCTCTATGGGGTCCCTATGGGGTCTCTATGGGTTCCTATGGGGTCTCTATGGGTTCTCTATGGGGTCTCTATGGGTCTCTATGGGTTCCTATGGGGTCTCTATGGGGTCTCTATGGGTTCCTATGGGGTCTCTATGGGTTCCTATGGGGTCTCTATGGGTCTCTATGGGTTCCTATGGGGTCTCTATGGGTTCCTATGGGGTCCCTATGGGGCCCTATGGGGTCTCTATGGGTTCCTATGGGGTCTCTATGGGTTCCTTTGGGGTCCCTATGGGGTCTCTATGGGGGCCTTATGGGGCCCTATGGGTTTCTTTCGGGTCTCTATGGGGTCTCCATGGGGTTCCTATGGGGTTCCTGTGGGTCCCTATGGGGTTCTTATGGATTCCTATGGGGTCAATATAGGTTCCTATGGGGTCTCTATGGGGTTCCTGTGGGTCCCTATGGGGTTCTTACGGATTCCTATGGGGTCAATATGGGTTCCTATGGGGTCCCTATGGATTCCTATGGGGTCCCTATGGGGTCTCTATGGGGTTCCTGTGGGTCCCTATGGGGTTCTTGTGGATTCCTATGGGGTCAATATGGGTCCCTATGGATTCCTATGGGGTCCCTATGGGGTCTCTATGGGGTTCCTATGAGTCCCTATGGGGTTCTTGTGGATTCCTATGGGGTCAGTATGGGTTCCTGTGGGGTTCCTATGGGATCACTATGGGGTGTTCCTATGCGTTCCCTATGGGCTCCCTATGGGGTCCCTATGGGCTTCCTATGGGGTTCCTATGCGTTCCCTATGGGGTCCCCATGGGGTTCCTATGGGCTCCCTATGGGGTCCCTATGGGGTCCCTCACTGTCCCCTCTCTACCAGGCCCCATGTGTGACCTGCTCTGGTCGGACCCACAGCCTCAGGTGAGGTCATGGCTGGTGCTGGTGCCCTTGGCCCTGCTTGGGGCCGTGTCCC